CCAAAGTCGGACGCTTAACCGACTGAGCCACCCAGGAGCCCCAACACTCGTCTCTTTTGAGGACACGGATGACGAGCCACCTCATCAGTCAGGATGGGTTGCATCCTGCTGCAGCCAGCATGGCCGCAAAGTCCTGTGGTTTCTCTCCCATGCCCTGCCTGTCTGCCATGTGCTGGGGACTCCGCTCCCTGGCCGCTCGAGGCTTTAGGAGCGAGTGTGGCTGTCAGCAGGGGCACGAGGATGAGGAGGCCACCAGAGGTCTCAGTGGCCATTGAGACTGCAGCCCATTACCTGGACCAACTTGTAGGGCTCACCTGAGCAGAGGTGGGGAGTGGGAGCCTCCACACGCCAGGGGAGGAGGGGCGACTGGATGTGCGCACTCGTGTGGGGGTGTGATTCGAGTACATTCTACCTTGCTGACCCTGAACTGCTCTGCGAGCTGCTTTCAATCAACCATATTTCTTGCACGTTGGTCTCTACTGTGTACTGTTTGTCTCAGTTTAGCCACAGGTTGGCGTTTCCCTGGGGCGGTGGCCTGTGATGACATCCCTTATTGATGGTCATTGAGGTTGTTCGTGATCTGTTGCCATGACAACGAGGTAGTGGCTCCTGGGGACTGCTGAGCTTGCCTCTCACGTCCTACTGATTTCTGGTCAGTCCCACCTCTTGTACCAGCCCCTAAACTTGGGAGGGTCTGGGTCAACTCCCCACTTTCCCCCAACCACTGTGGCATCCCCTAAAATATAGAGGTGGGCACGTGACTCCATCTGCACCCATGACAGCAGAGAAGATATTTACTAACCACTTCCAGATAGTACTTCTGGAAGCACCCTTTCTCTCTCCCACTGGCCCTGTGGGAAGAAACACCAGCCCAGGCAGTTGTTGGGACTGTCCTGTGACCACAAGGTAGAAAGCCATCCCAGCGTGAAACTGACACTGCAGAAAATGGAGCAGAGATGAACAGAGGGGTTGGCGTGTTTGTGACATTGTCTGGGCTGCTGGATCCAGCCTTGCCTGAAGCTCTCAACTGCCTCTCAACTTCCGGCAAGATGAGTCGCGTTATCCTGTTTATTGAAGACAGAGTTGAGCTTCTTGGCACTCTCTGAAGCAAGTCTGTTACGTGCCTCTTTGTGTTCATGCACTAGTGTGGCTGTGGGTTTCCAGGAACGAAATTGCTAGGTAGGGATCAAGGGATACGTTAACTGATGCTGCCAGTGCCCATTCCTAAGTACAGCAGTCACAGCTGCCACCAACTGCTTTTGGCTGTAAGCCGCTGCAACCCAGTCTGGGGGCTTCCGCGTAGGAGCATGACTCAACACCCCAGGAGCAGCCCTCGGCCAATGATTGTGGACAGCCCTTCACCACTGGGGTGGGTTCACTCGGGTCAGATCTAACCGTCCCCCCAGGTCCCCAGCAGGACCAAGCCCGGGTTGCCCACTTAGTCACCTGTTCATTGGCACCCCCACAGGGCTCCTCCCTCCCCGTTTCATTTCTCCATCCCCAGGGAGTCTCCCTGGGGTGACCTCCCAGGCAAACCATGGGCCCTGAGTCCTCGTGACAGGGTCATCTTTTGGGGAAATCTATCCAGAGATGAACAGAAATGCCAGATACTCCTGCAAGGAGATGGTAGCCATTTATATCACATACCCTCACTGTCTTGAGTTTCCTGTGGCCGCCTTAACAAAGTACCCCAGACCGGGGGGCTTAAAAACCCAAATGTATTCTCTTACAGTTCTGGAGACCAGAAGTCCAAAATCAGCGTGTCAGCGGGTTTGATTCCTTCCGAGGGCATGAGGGAAGGATGTGTCCAGGCCTTTTCTTGGCTGCCGGCTGTCTTCCTATCGTCTTCCCTCTGTGCTTTTCTGTATCTAAATTTCGTTGTAATAGAAAAAAGAAAAAAAGCAAATTTCCTCTTCTCAGGACCCACCTTCATGGCCTCATTTTAACGTAATCGTCTCTTTAAAGCCCTGGTATCCAAATCCGGCCCCACTCTGAGGTCCTAGAGGTTAGGACTTCTGTGAATTTGGGGAGGATGTCATTCAGCGCCTATCCTCACCAAGGCCTGTCACCCGCCTTGCAGATCCTCACTATTCTGACGGGGGAAGCAGCAGGACATCCAGGGCGTGGGTGGTGGCCAGGCGGTGACAGGGGAAGAGACAGCAAGGTCAGGAGGAGGCCTGAGGACTGGACAAGGTGGAGGTCCCAGGGACCCTGACAAGAGTGGTTCCAAGGTGCATCTTGGGTCCTGCTTCCAGTTTGTTTTGTGCCTTTTCTTTCCGCTTTCTCCTTTGCTCGTTTCTCTGGAGTCATTGAAAAGTTTGACTTGCCATTGGGTTTTCCTTTTTCTTTTTCTTTTAAATCCTCTTTTCTTCAGCCGGTTTAGAAATGACACATTGCGTTTCTTGTAACGTAGGGCTTCTGGGCCGGGGGCATTGCGGACTTCCGGGGTGGGGCCGTCCTGGGCACCTCAGGTTGTTGAGCAGCACCCTTGGCCTCCGCCCACCAGATGCAGTAGTGTCCCTGTCCCCTCTCAATCATGACAGCCAAAAATGTCTCCAGAAAAAAATGCCTCCAGACATTGACTAGTAACCCTTTGGGGCAGAATCATCCCTCCTGTGAGAAGGCCTGAGGTGTGGTGACTACCACTGACATGGCAGTTAACAAGGTAATACTTCCCCTCCTGAAAACACAGGGTCCTGACCACCCCCTTCTATCTTCCCTATTTTTCTCTGTGGCTCCTCCTTGTTTCTCTCAGTCTTTTTTTTTTTTAATTGTGAAATGTGTCCCCAAAAGAGACCGCTGTGGTTTAACGCACGGCAGTGAGAGCCTGTGACCGTCATGGGTTCTTCCTGCCTTGGCTGTCCCATGTGCGCCTTGTGCCGGTCACTCTCTTGCTTTTCTTTAGGTGTTTTCAACTTCCTGTGTGTCCCTAAACCACGTGGTGTTGAGCTCTGAGAGCAGAGAGCACGCAGAGCCCTGGCTGAGCAAGGGAAGGGCCAGGTGGCCAGAGGCACCACCGCCGGGGGTCTGTGCCAGTGGGCTCAGGGCACCGGTTTCGGGGGCTCCCGGGGTGTCGGCCATAGTGCGGCACCAGCAGAACGAGGAGGCCACGCTCCATCATCTCGGAGTCCTGGGCCAGTAGGTGTGGCCTGTTCTGTCCTGGCTGGGACTTCATTCTGGAACTTCCCGGACACGTGCCTAGGGATGGGGTTCTCGTCCCGCAGCACCTGGAACCGTGGGGTCCTGGGGAGTTCCCATTGCCTGGCTCCATCAGCGTCTCCCTCTGCTCGGATGTCTCTTTCCAGAACTCTCTTTCTTTGGAAGATTCTTCTGGGTCAGTCCCCTGATTTCCTTTGTCCCCTCCCTTGTTTTCCATCTTTTATCTTTCTGTTCCTCCTGCAAGATCTCTACAACTTCATCCGCCACCTCCATTTCCCTCCCTTCTCTTCCTCTGTATCCACTCCCTGCCGCTTCCGCCCTCTCCTCCCTCTTGCCCACCCCCAGCCCTGACTGCCTTTCTTCCTTCTCCAGCCCCTGTCTTCCTCTTCTCCCCTGACTTGTCGCCTCCAGACCTATTGGAACTGGAAGTTTTACAACACTTGCGTTTCTTCTCCCCACCTTTCCTCCTCTCTTCACTTCCTGCTTCCAGGCCTTTGCTCTGGGTCGCCCTTCGCTCAGCACGGAGGCTCATCCCCCAGAAGCCCCCACAGGTACCCAGGTGGCCTGAGCCACACCAACATGCAGAGAGCCGCCTCCCAAACCACTCCAATCCTCTTTGTAAAAGCAGTCTGCTCTTTTATTCAGAAGAATGAACCCCCACTTCTGCCTCAAATGGGGGAGGGGGGCGTGCCATCTGGGAACAATGGCCCTGGGATCCTCTGCCAGTGGGCCCAGGGCAACAGTTTTGAGGCAGAAACCCGGGATCCAAGGGGGCCACAGCTCAGGCACTGCGGTGAAGTGGACCCGCACAGCAGGCGCTGCGGGGACTCCCAGGCCCGCCTTGCACCTGAGGACACTGAGGCACACACGGAGGAGGCGGCCGGGAACCGCTAGCTCGGCCCGGACCTCGGGGCCCCAGGAGCGTCTTCTGCGGGCGGCTAGGAGCCCGCCAGGTACCGGTGGAAGTACAGGCCGAAGAGGCTGGAGAGCAATTGGCAGGCGGCGGTCCACCAGATGAGGAAGGTGAGGACGCCGCGGAGGAAGAGGGGCGTGAGCAGGCTGCCCAGGGCCCCTGCGATCCGGGCCGCCGTCTGCTGGGCCTCATCCTCCCCGGGGCCCACCAGGCGATCGTGGGCTGAGGACGGGGGAGGGGACAGCATGGGAACCGGGCCCAGGCCCCAGGAGTAGCCGCCTGTGAAGGTGAAGGCACAGGCGGGGTTGGACCGCTGGGACCCCCACCCATCGCCACCATCCCAAACTCTGACTCCTGGCCCCTACCCCGACTTCGGGCCCCTCCTCCCCTCTCCGCGTCTCCAGGCCCTCGGGGCTCCACCCCCACCCTACCCCCACCCTACCCCCACGTACCACCAGGTCGGGTCTCCGGCTCCACCTCCTCCACCTAGCTCAGCTCTAACACCAGCGGCGGCCCGCCCCGCCCCGCCCAGGCCCCGCCCGCGCCAGGCTCCGCCCCCGCCCAGGCCCCGGCCCCGCCCAGGCTCCTTCTCACCCAGCGTCTTGAGCAGCAGCGTGCAGTTGAAAGTGAGGATGAGGGGCGTCAGGTACTGCAGGCTCACCACTGTCACGTAGCAGTAGACCCGCACCACCTAGTGGGCAGGTAGCAGTGGCTACGGGGCGGGGGCAGGTGGCAGGGGGCAGCCTTCTGGGCTTCGGGTGACGCTACGCCCCAGGGATCGGGATCCTGCCCTGAGCCCCGTGTTCCCTCCCAACCTCGGGAGCCCGTACCCGCCTCTGGATCTCACGGGCCTCTATGCGGCCGGCCTCCCGCCGCAGCTGCTCCACGCGGGCCTTGGCCAGGCACAGGTAGGCCTGCAGGTGGGGCCGGGTCACGGCCAGCCTTAGCAGGCACAACGCCACCAGCACCCAGAGGCGCAGTGAGTCGAAGGCCGAGTCCGACAGCCTGTGGGGAGGGGAATGAGGGGGTCGGGAGGCCGCCCCTGCCCTGGGATTTTCCCCCAGGACCCAAGGCTCTTCCCTGAGCCTCAGAGACTGGGGCACACAGAGGGGCCCCCAGCTGCCCTCCCTCCCAACCCCACCAGATTCGCACAGGGAGAAGGTCATCTCCCCAGCAGGTGCCTGGTGCAGGAAGTCCCGTGCAATGGGCTTGGTCCAGAGCCCCAGGATGATCAGAGGGGACAGGAAGCTCATCTGCAGAAGGAACCTACGGGGCAAGGGCGCAGAGGAGTGAGTCCTGGGCACCCACCATCCCCCTAGCCCCTCCTTTAGATTCCCAGCCGCCCTCCCATCTGGCACTCCGCATAACTGCAGCATGGGCCGGTCTTCCGACATGGTCAGCGCATCCAGGTGTGTCTGGGCCAGCCGCAGGCCTGGAAAGGTGAGGAAGGCCCCCAGCATGGATCCCACGAATGCCAGCCCCATGCGGATAGCCAGCTTGGCCAGAGGGAGCCTGAGGAGAAGAGGAGGGTCAGAAGGCTCTGAAGCCTGTCAGTAGCCCACCTGCAGGTCACAGCCTGCCCTTGCTCCACCTCACTTCCCAGGACTCACGCCCAGTCCCAGCCCTGCATCTTCAGAAGTGGCTCCAAGTTCTGGGTCATACTGGCGAGGCCTAGGGAAGACAAGGAGAGGGCAGTGTCTAATAACCGCTGGAGCCTCAGAGTGTGCTTCTACTCCCCAGATATGCTTCTACTCCCCAGAGAGGAACGAACCAGTGGGAGCCAGGCCCGGTGCCAGGCAAAAGGACTACTTTGTGCTCTGGATATGGGCGATTTTTTTTTTCAACGAATAGGAAGCTCTACCAGGCAGACACCCTTGATTGGACTGGGGAGATGGGGGTGGGGTAGACTACTGAGTCTGAGCTTCCTGGATTATACCAGGAATCCAGAGGGGCATGAAGGACTCCCATAGGAGAAAACCAAAGTTTTGGAAAGAATCCTCAATGCAGGCCCTTGGATTTTCCACAGAGTAAAAGCAAATAAAAATGAGCTCACAACCAAAATCATCAAACACACCAGGGAATAAATCACAATAAAGGAGAGTCAGCAGAAAGAAAAAAAAGAAAAAAGAAAGAAGGAAAGACAAGTTTATACCCTGCAGACTACAGAAATTTTGTAGGTGTTATCATGTGTGAAACGATTGAGGAAAATAAAAGTTGGAGTCACAGAAAGGTGACACGAGGCTACCTCAGATGACCAGGTATATTTGCAAAGGAACCAATTAAGCTCACCCAAAGGGAAAATACAATTACTGGAATGATAGGTTGTTAAATGGCATATTCAAATCAGCCAAAGCAGGAATGAATGAATTGGATCCGAAGATCACTCAGATTCCAACTCAGAAAGATAAAATGGTAGGAAATATGAAGGGAGATTACGAGCATAGAAATTGCAGCATCAGTCAAAAAGGAGGCCAAGAGAGAGAAGTGAAGAGAATGGAGGAGGAGAGATCTTGGAAAAGAATGACTGAAAAGTCTGCAGAATGAATGACACACACAAAGTATATCAAACTGGATAAATACAATGAAATCCATACCTAGACACTGTAGTGAAACTGGAATACCAAAAACAAAGAGATCGCAAAGCAGCCAGGGATTTAAGACAGATCACCTATAGAGGAAAGACAATTAGATTGGCAGCCAATGTCGACAGCAATCACAGAAAAAGAACAAATAGAAAGTGAAAAGGCAAGATGGCAGAAACAATGTCAAATATGTCAGTAATCATACTAAATGTAAGCAGGTTAAACTTTAAAGTTAAATGACACAGACTGTCAGACTTGATTGAAAATACCCAGCTATATGTTTTAAAAAAAAATTTTTTTAATGTTTATTTGTTTTTGAGAGACAGAGTGTGAGTGGGGGAGGGGCAGAGAGAGAGAGAGAAAGACACAGAATCTGAAGAGGCTCCAGGCTCTGAGCTGTCAGCACGGAGCCCGATGCGGGGGCTCTAACTCACAAGCCATGAGATCATGACCTGAGCCGAAGTCAGACGCTTAATGGACTGAGCCACCCAGGAGCCCCGCGGCTCTGTTTTTTAAAGGAGACATACCTCGACATAAGGTTCCTGTAAGGTTGAAAGAAAAGGGATGTTAAAAAGTCATGACAAATACTAATCAAAAGAAAGGTGGTATTGTGTATTTGAGAGTTGCTAAGGGAGTAGATCATCACAAGAACAAAAAAAGTTATAACTGTATGGTGATGAATGTTAACCAGATTAATCCTAGGGATCATTTTGTAATGTATACAAATATTAAATCTTGATGTTGTATACCTGAAACTAACAATGTTATATGTCAATTATATGTCAACTGAAGAAAAGAAAGCTGGAAAGGCTACATTTTTGCCACACAAACTACAGTAAGACAGAATGTATTATTAGAATCAGAATACATCCTAATAAAATGGTTGATTCACCAGGAATATGTAGCAATTCTAAACTTGTAAACACCTTGTCAGTTAGCCACAAAACATATAAAGAAAACACTGATAGGGGTGCCTGGGTGGCTCAGTCGGTTAAGTGGCTGACTTCGGCTCAGGTCATGATCTCGCGGTCTGTGAGTTCTAGCCCCGCATCGGGCTCTATGCTGGCAGCTCGGAGCCTGGAGCCTGCTTCAGATTCTGTGTCTCCCTCTCTCTCTGCTCCTCCCCCATTCACACTCTGTCTCTCTCTGCCTTTAAAAAATGAATAAATGTTTAAAAAATTGTAAAAATGTAAAAAATGTAAAAAAAAATGTAAAAAAAAAAAAAAACAAAAAACCACTGACAGAATAATCTGGAGAAATTGAGGGCTCCACCATCTCCAAGGGAGATTAACCCTTTAATGACTGACCAAAAGTTAGGAAGGAAGGAGATTTGAATTTATTGGGTAGAGTCAGGGAATAAATGTTCTTTAAAAAGTCACTAAAGGGGCACCTGGGTGGCGCAGTCGGTTAAGTGTCCGACTTCAGCCAGGTCACGATCTCGCGGTCCGGGAGTTCGAGCCCCGCGTCGGGCTCTGGGCTGATGGCTCAGAGCCTGGAGCCTGTTTCCGATTCTGTGTCTCCCTCTCTCTCTGCCCCTCCCCCGTTCATGCTCTGTCTCTCTCTGTCCCAAAAATAAATAAACGTTGAAAAAAAAATTTTTTTTAAACAAAAAAAATTAAAAAAATAAAAAGTCACTAAAACTGATCATATTCTAAGGCTATGATGCAAGTCTTAACAAATTTTAACGGATTTACTTCAAGTAGACCATCTTCCGTAAGCATACTGCAATTAAGCTAGAAAAAAATTTTTTAACAACTTAAAGTTCCACATTCAAGGGGCACCTCCTAGCTCAGTCCATGGAGCTTGCAACTCTTGAGTTCCAGGTTGTGAATTTGAGCCCCATGCTGGATGGAGAGATTACTTAAAAAACATAAAATCTTAAAAAAATAAATAAAGTTCCACGTTCGAAGTTTCTTAAAAAGGTTAAAAAAGAAATCACAGGGGCGCCTGGGTGGCGCAGTCGGTTAAGCGTCCGACTTCAGCCAGGTCACGATCTTGTGGTCCGTGAGTTCGAGCCCCACTTCAGCCAGGTCACGATCTCGCGGTCCGTGAGTTCGAGCCCTGCGTCAGGCTCTGGGCTGATGGCTCAGAGCCTGGAGCCTGTTTCCGATTCTCTGTCTCCCTCTCTCTCTGACCCTCCCCCGTTCATGCTCTGTCTCTCCCTGTCCCAAAAATAAAATAAACGTTGAAAAAAAAAA